TCTTTAGCTGTATTTGGAGCAGAGAGAGAGAAATCCTGTGCTGAAAATGTACCAAGGTCCTGGGTAGCCCCTCTTGCTGTGTGGCCGCTCCGTAAGCAGCTGAACCGCCAAGGAGAACTGCAGCGTTGTCAGACGGTGCTTGTTCCCGCTCTGCGGCAGAGCTCTCTGAGCTCCAGCCTGTTTTCAAGAGCTTGTCTTCCTCGTTCGTGTTTTTGTGCAGTTTCCCCCCAAAGCAGCACGTGGGAAGGCAGCTTTCGGCTGTCTTCCAAGCTCAGCTGGGAGGGCATCGGCTGGGAAGGGTTCACTGGTCCGGTGGTGGTGGTGGTTGGCAAGGGTTAGGAGTCACCTGGGCTTCAGAAAAGAAGCAGTGTTCCCCAAAATGTTTTTCCTGTGTTATTAATGACTGTTTTGGTGCAGGTTTTGTGTTTAGAGTGGACAGATTGCTGCATTGTAGGAGCCATATCACTTGCACAGAGATTGCTGGAGGACCAGGAGCTGCTGTGGTGTGATGATTCCACTCTGGTATGATTGGCATGGCCCCAAAGAACGTGTACCTCGAGTGCAATGCAGGTTTTCTATAGCAGCTTCTCGTAGCTCTTGTGCACAGTGAAATTACTGGATACGACCACAGTTACATTTACTGCATGTCATTTCCTCATTATGCATATTCTGACTGTATTTCAGGGGAGAGGCATGAGGGCGAGAATGTAACCACCTTTCATGTGCCTTCTTGCCTTTCCCAAGAAAACCAGCTTTTTATTTCGGCGCGAGGTCATACTCCCAGATAACAGTCATGCCTACTGCATGTTAGCGTCCTTGCTGGCTGTGATGTCTGAGAATTTAGCCACAGGGTGGGTGGCTAGAGAAACCCGTGCCACTACTGCCTCCAGAGCACTTGCTGCACACCTCTAGGAGCTGCAGAGCTTATGCCAGCCATTGGAAAGAGGCGCTTGTGGGGGGCTGGACAGTTGCCCTTGGCTTGGTTTTGGGTGCAGCCCCGTGGAGGAGCGGCGGGGTGGGAAGGGGGTGTGCGGCGCAGGTCCTGAGGCTGACCCAGCCGGAGCATCATGGTACCCTGGGCACATGAAGAGGTCGCGCTTGCCAAATCCGTCCGGCGATGGGCTTTGAGATGGTGAGCTTGCCTGCCTTGGAGATTGTAGGTTGGCCTGATGAAAGGAAGTGGGTAGAAATAATAGGCTTAGGCTTTTGTAGGGCACTGGACTCGCTATAATGTTTTATCTTGGCCGATTAATGAGATCTAAGTATTATCAATGAAGCGCACATTTAAACGGATTAAGAAATCACTAACTGGCAGATCTCAAAGGATAGTCATTAGGGAGTAATCAGCAAACGATGGTATTTTTAGAGTGACTGCACTGGCCTGGGTGCTTGGCCCGATCCTGTTCAGTGCTCCCACAAAGCATTTGAAGTTCCTAAAAAGTCACTGTTAATAATTTTTTGCTGATGGCACAAAAACTGGGCGAGCAGCTCGTAAGAGGAAGAATTGGGACAAATGCAGAATAACTTGAGTGTCTTGGTAGCTTCCAAACCACAGAGCTTTAAAGCTATGCATCGTCAGTGGGTGCAGCCTGGGATGGCCGGTGAAATCGGGGGGGGAGATGCGCCCTCCTGCCTTGTCGCCTGGGCTCCGTCTGAGCCATCGAGCACCTGCCGCTTCAGCACGACGCCTCAGCTGGAGGACTCTTCAGCATCTCTGTTGCTTGAGAAATTACAGTAGAGTTGTTTGGCGGGGAGGCGGGGAAGGAGCGTTTTTCAGCACAGGGTCGGGCTGGCGCGCACCGTGACTGACCGGCGGGGCGAGGAGCAGGACGTGCTGTCCCCTCCGGGAAGGCTGTGGTTCCCCCGCTTGCAGACACACAGTGTGCCTGTTGTAAAAGAAATCTCATCAAACGCCGAATGGGTTTGTAATAAGTTTTTCAAATTGGTTGCTGCTACAGCATAACCTTTAGACTACTGGTATTTAACCTTGTATATCACTCTTAGCTTTTGAATGAATTTAGCTTAATAAAGGTGCCTTATTAAATTACTAGGCTGGGTTTTTTAAGCTGCTAGAAAGAGGCATGCTAGGAAATAGCTTTGGGTTGTTAGATCTAATTGGCTACTGGTAGAGTATGTAGCAGCTTAGATGCATAGATGCAAGTGTTTATTTTTATGTAGTAATCCAGTGGTATGATATTATGAAGTTCCAAGTCGAGGATTTCAGGCTGCTGGAATGCGCTTGGTAGTAAAAACTCTGCCGCTGCTTGCCTTACGCCCTGGCTCACTATCCGAGATAGTCATTGCCCCAGATTATACAGCCGCAGATGCTGCGACTAGAATGTGGCCTTTTTAACAAAGCAGCTAATAGGTGCCAAACTGCAAGTCCAGGCACTGAAAATCATCACGCCTTTACCAGTGTAGGCTACTAAATGTCACAGTCCTGTGTAGGAACAGAGCTCAGGATCCCACGGTGCTCGGCATTTTGCAAAGCTTTGCTACCAGAGTCCATAATCTGAAGAAAATACACTGACTTTGAGATGGGACTCTTAGCAGCAGAAGTAGAACTTAAGATTCTCTACAGGCATGTCCTGGAAAAAAAGGCACACGCACACACACCCCCCAATTCTTGGTTGAAGTGTAAGAGAAATTTTTTTTGTATACCATAAGCCTGATGAGAATGTCAGTTTTCCCGAGTGCCCAGCCATCCTTCCAAATCCTTCAGACTCATGAAGCATTTTCACAAGTGCCCGCTGTAATTACTGGCATGCTGGTGAGTCCTGCTTGGGAGGAACATTTACTGCGATAACTCCATTGGGAATGCTCTTGCCTTCACGAGTGCGTGCACGTGTGCTAATAAAGCCCAGATTTCTATTACAGGTGACATCTCTGTGGTGTCCAGATCCAAGTAGTAGGGGTTCACTTTGCTGCTTTCATTTGTTTCATGAAGACTGCAGGGCTGGAAAGCTGAAAGGGAAGGGCTTACCTCCTGTAGTTTTGGGAGAGCCTACTTAGTCTGCAGTTCATTCTCAGTACAGCGAGCCTTCAGTGTATTCCTCTTGATTTCCATAAGTAATTGTCAGCTGGTAAACAGCTCATTAGAAATACTGAAATTTATCTAATGAAAACAGGATGGGAGCAACAGGAGAGGCAAGCTGCAGAAGATGTTGTGCAGAGCTTTCTCATCACAGGGTGCTGTAGTCCTGTTCCCATGTAAATTGGGCTGAAAAGGTTTTCTGCTCTTTCTACAGCACAGAGTACAATAGCATCCATGTTTCTGGCATGGGCTCGTAGGTACTGCCGCAAAGCAAGTAATAAAGAGTGAGCAGATGGCCAGGGAGGTGGGAATTGTGAATGAGAGTGGTGAGCGTGAGCGCAGCGTTTGAGATGCTGTTTGTGATTTACTTGCTGCATAATACTCGGGTTAGCTCGTCTTCCCGCGTTTATGCATTGTGTAAATGCTCGTGGCGGAGACCAAGCTTAGTGCAGTATTTCAGTGCTGCTTTTTGCCTTCCCATGCTTTTCTTGTGCATGCTTGTGCTGCGTCCCTCCCAGGGCTCCAAGGCCTGGACCGCCTTGGCTGGACCCGCGCCTTGCCGCGATGGGGGAGATGGGGGAGCCCGGGTACGCCGGGAATGGGTCTGCCTCCGGGGTTTGGCTCGAGGGCACACTCGGAGGCTCTTTCACCCTCCTACAAAGGACCTTTTTTAGCTCAGCTCACGCCTGGACCTCACCCTGGTCGCTTCCACATCTTCATTTCACACGTGCAAAGGATTAGGTGTGTTTTTGGGCACGCTGAAGTCACCCGCATCTCCAGTGGAATTGGGACTCTGCACCTCAGACACATGACACCCCCGAAGCCTCGCACTCCCCACACGTCTGCCGTGGTTTCCAGCCAGCAGAGACGCCCGAGTTTCATAGCTGCGAGGAGCATCTGTAATGGGGATTAGTTTATAAAATGTTTGTGGTATAGTCATCTCAGGAGAGGATTTACCGGTGTAGCTTATTCCATTACTGAAAATTATGAGAGTTTAAATTGGTTAAATCCTGACATGGGTTTTTTTTTCTAATCTCTATTATTCCATAGGAAGCATGTTAATGAGTTAAACACAGTTAATAAAATGCAGCAAGCCAATATTTTTGGTAGCAGTTACTCTCAAAGGAAATAGAAACATTTAAATGGTTTCAACTTTTATGCATACTGATTTTTTGCCTGCCTTTGTTCCTTACAGTTGAGTAAATTCCTGAAAAATATATATGGCTTAATGGCATTTGTAGCATTGAATTGATTTCTTGCACTGATAACATTTTAGCTACAGCTTAGATGGCGTTTTTAATCTGTGTTTCAGTTGTAGGGGGTAATGAATTTTTTAATTGTGGACTCTAGGTTTGTGGTATGGCTTTTTTTTTTTTCCCCTGCAGGGTCTTGCTAAAGTGTTTTTGAGTTGGCTCCCTAACTAGAAATGCTTTAACTCTCTGTGTTTATTTTAGGATTTAGAAGAGCTTCGTTTGGACAAAATAAAACCTCTTGTTTAAACAAAAGCAGCAGCAGCTGTGACTTCTTTTGGTGTTTCTAACAAGCATCTCTTGTAAAGCCCAACACATTAATAGCGTGGACACCAAGCATTGTCATACAGTAATATATGATACACAGTAAAACCTATCAATTCTGAGCACCACAGATATCTCTGGTGTCACCTCGGCATGAAGGCAAATGAGTTCCTTCGAGCTCGAGCGAGTTCAGAGATAAACTCTGGTGCAGCAAAACGTATTTCCCGGGGAAGCGTGGCGCTCCGGCCGGTGTGCGAAGCGCTGCCAGCTCCACCTTCTCCTGCTGCCAGCCACTTCGGCTGGGAGCACATGCCGCGCTCAGGCCTGGCAAACGGTCAGGCAGACGGTGCAGAGCGGCGGCGGCGACCACCTCTTGCTGTGGGCGCACGCAAATCTGATCCGGTCCGATCCTGTGACGCGACGGCTTACGAACTGATGTTTTTGTCCTGCAGATAAGCCTCAAGTGCGGGTTTCTCAGAATTACCCGGTGCAAGGCCTCACCAGAGAAGGGGAGCCGCTTGAACTGACGTGCGCAGCTTTTGGAAAACCACAGTAAGTTGGACGCTTCCCCAGGCTGGACCAGGTTGTCCGGCGGTGACGGGGTCATGCCGCAGAAGCACGCGGACGTTGGTTGGCCTCTGTTGCCATTGCAGACGCTTGATATGCCATTCTCTGCTGCGAAGATGACGTAACAGTGTGAAAGAGAGAGATGCTTTCTGCACTTGAGCATCTGCTGCACAATTAAGACGTCTATCTTGATTTGCATTTATTCCCATATAACTAACAGCTGAGGGATTTCCACTCAAAGAGCTCCTAGGAGAGCTCTTGGCGGCCACCATGCAGCCAGCCCTCAGGTGCAGAAGGGAAGGGCCCCACAACTGTACGCCTCTTCCCCCAGGGAATGGCAGGGGTGGCAAGCAGTTGCAATTAATCTGCAAGAGCGAGGTCAGGGGCCTGCGTATTGAATCCCAATGAGGTGCCAGTACGCAGAAGTAAGCCTGGCACCAAAGAACGGAGCACTTGTAAAAGTGGAATGGATCCCTAAGGTAAGGCAGTCTGTCTTTCTGCTTGTATAGACTCTGAGATGATTTTCCTCCCTTTTTGGTGCCCTGTGTGGTTTTTATGAAATGCAAGTTTTATTCTTTCTCCTCTTCTGGCCATGCCCTTGAGGCTTTCTTATGTAGTCAAAGAAATTTATGCATCAGGAAAATCCTGGCAAGGGAGGGTAGATTTTCATCCACACTTCCATTGTTGTTCTGATTTAAGTTTTGTCGACTTTTTTTTTTTTCTTTTAATACTTCCTCTTCCACTTGGATTTATGGCTGTCAAGTATTTACTATCCTTTTTTATTTTCGTCATGTTCATAAGATGTCTGCAAACATCCCTGAAACCTGTCAGTGTCTCCTTGGTAGCGTGCCAGAGCTAAGGAGTTCCTGCAGGTATAGTCGAACTGGAAGCCATCTAGTTTGACAGTTCTGCTGCTGTGGGCAGCAGCAGGCAGGGTGTGAGCGCTGAGCAGCGAGGAGGCTTGGGGTACTGTTATCCTCCACGGTAGTATACCTCCTCTCCTAGATTATTTTGTTGATTCCTGCTTCCCAGTTTCTTCTGCTCGGCACGAGGCTGACTCCTTCCCCGTACATTAGAGACTGGCACGTCCCCTGCCGAGTTCCATTTTAGTATCTATTCCCTGCTCAGAGTCTGTCAAAGCCCCTTTGCATTCCTCCTCTCATGAGTAACTGCTGTTCCTCCCATTTGCTATCATCTGGGAATTTAATGAATAGGCTTCTTTACTTTTTTTTCTTCCAGGCTATGAATAAGACGTACACACGTTAAATAAGACAGACACATCTCCCCAGCAGCATGCCACTTAAAGTTACGGTGATGCTAGTAATGTGCTAGGAATTCATTTATGTAGGTCACTTCACCTGTGTCTCTCAAAGTGGAAGAAAAGATACAGGAAAATAATGGGCTGTGTTGAGCTCGATGTTTTTAAAACAAAGATATTTCATAAAATCCTTTACAGAGGTTTAAGACAAACAGGGACGTTTCTCCAGTTAACCAAAATCATTTCTCTGCAAAATTTGGCAACATAACCATTGGGGGAGGGAAGCTCAGAGGAGAACAAAAGACCAGAGAGTAGAAATTTCTATTCTGGTATTAATATGTTGTTAGATCAGACACAGCCGCCCCCCCAAGACTATGACAAAAGTGGGAAGATACTGAAACAATCGCTTTTAGGAAATGTGGGGTGACACACGTCTATGAGAAACAGGCTGCTGTGTAGTGCGCGCAGCGTGGGAAGTCTCGGCACTCAAATCAGAAGTAGCCCTTCGAAAACCGTAGCCGGGAGCATCCAAACCCTTTCCACCCTTATTGAGATTCAACTGCAATTCTGCTCTCGCAAGAGCTTCTGCTGCCCATGCCGTGGCTTGTGTGCTGACAGTTCAGAAGCGGGGAGGAGAGCGCCAAGCCCTTGTCCAAAACCAGATGTCAGCTTTGTAGCAGGCAGCTGGTACCCAACTGGTTTTGCTCAGTGTTGTATCCATCCCAGTACTGTGGCTGGGATGTTGAAACTTCAGCAGCTTCTACCTCATGATAGTAGTCTACTATCTGGGCGCTGGGCAAAGCCCGAGCTATGAGATACCTCCAGCAGCACGAGCTCCCAGCAAAGGCCAACTTGCAAACTTTGGAACTAGGCAGGCTGAAGACTGTTGGACTGCCTAAAGCTCCCCTTTTAAGAGCTTATTGTTGAGTCACCCTGAAAGAAGCTGTGATTTTCTTGCTGGGGATGGCTGTCTCAGGAGCACCTGACCTGTCCCCTACTGCTGCTTGAAGACTATAGTAGTAATAAAAGAATTTTAAAAAAAAAAAAAAAAGACACTCCCAAGCCCCACAGCACTCGCTTTCTTTACTAGCTCTAACAAAACATCCTATTTCATTCCCTGAATGATGTAAACCTGATACTCCTTTTGGTTCTGTTAGCAAAGGGATGCAGGAGAGAGGCTGCCGGTTGGCCAGGCGGGACTGGGGGAGAGGAGAAAGGTGTTCCTCTCTTCTAGCATCTGCAGTGCTCTTAGTGAGCGGCACGGCCACTGCGGAGGTAAACAGGTCCATCGCCTAGCTTTGTGGAAGGGCTCACATTTGACAAAAATGTACTCGTTCTGCCACACGCTGTCTAGATCTGCACTCAGAGTACCCTGTGGATGCTCATTTAGTCCGTAGCCTCAAAGATTTCAGGTTTACGGAAAAAGCGAATGATTAACCACTAATGACCTTTCTTCCTGCTTGCATCAGTGTTTTCCGAAAATTTAAGGTCTGGATACAGTTTCCTGTTGGGTTAAAATAAAGTTAAATTGAGGAAGCCTGACAGCATCTGGGCTTGAGTAGTGCAAAAAAGTATGTGTTATTTCTTTACAGTTTTTCTTGGTTTGGGCTTTCTGTCTGTGGATGAACTATTGAAGATGCCATCTTTACCATAGGAAAATAGTAATGTGCTTGTTTCTTTTTCTCCCTCCTCTGTAGGCCTACGGACATGAGGTGGTTAAGAGTAGATGATGAGATGCCTCAACACGTTGTAGTGTCTGGTTCAAACCTTCTCATTAGTAACCTAAACAAAACAGATAATGGTACATACCGCTGTGAGGCTTCAAACGCGGTGGGGAAATCACATGCGGATTACATGCTGTTTGTATACGGTACGTGAGAAAAACCACCGTTCTTCTAGACTCATTTACACATAATTGCAACATACCGCGCTCTGAAAGCTTTGACAGAACTTAACGTTTTGCTTAACGCAAGATTTACAGAGAGCTCCCAACACGTCTACGTTATACCGGGCTGGGGTAGGGGCTGGAAAACCATTTCTTTTGCTTCTGTAACTCTCGGTGTCGTGCATCGGGTGCAGAGCCTATTCCAGTGTCCGGTGAGCTCCTTCCTCCGGAGTTGTGCTTGTGGGCTTGCCGCGGCACTCACGTGCTGTCAGGTGAAGCCCAAGGAAAAGCCAGAGCAGGGACACAGGGAGAACTGTGAAGTTCTCTGGCCTGACAGTTCTCCTAGGACTTCTCCGATAATTCCTTTTCCTTTTTGTAATAGCTTCTCAAGTGTCTTCAGCAATGGGCTGGGGCTGGGGGTGGGGGGCGGATTCCCAGTCTTTCGTTAGCAAGTTAAATTACCGAAGAATCAGCCAGCATCCCCAGATAGTTACAAACCAGTAAATAAACTGGAGGAATGAGATGCCTTAAGCCTATCTGTGGCGGCTGAGCAGATACTAAAACATGCCTCAGCATCTTTTTAAAGCGCTATTAAGTACCTACTTTAATTCGTCCGTTCCTCTGCATTATTTTGCCATTGCTTTAAACCTTGTGCTCCTTTCACGAGGCGTTGCATATAATGAAGATTCAGTAGGCACTTCAAGAGTGATCCCCCAGTTTAATTATGAGCAATTCCCTTGGGCTGCGTATTTAAACTTTATCCGTTAAGAGTGGTTATTGCGTGGCTGGGCTGAGCTCGTGGTGGGTATTGCCTGTTACTCGGATGGGACAGTAACGTGCTTTGGTTTGAAGTTCATTCCATGCATCAGCCGCTTGAAGCTCTGCAGTCCAAATTCTCTTGTACTTGCTCTGATCCAGACAAATAGTTGAGAACCTCATCTCGCCTGTCCAAATGCCGCTTGCACATGAGTGATTTTAAGCCCAGTCTTAGAAACTTGCCCTAAGGCTGAAGATAATAGCAAAGCTACAGCTTTGAGCTGAAATTGAAGTCATCTACCACATCATACGGGTAGTTTTCTAGTGCCTACAGCTCCAAAAGACTCCAGTTTACAAAATGAAGTCAGATACGCGTTTATGATGGAATAATTGGTATGCTCATGGTATAAAAAAATACCTCATTTACATCCATGTTTAGAGAAACAACTAACATTGTGGAGAATAAAGAAGTTGAAATAGGGCACAGGCAGTTCCCCATGAGCTTAAAACTTGGGGAATCCTACTGCCATAAAGCAGTTGTAGATGAGGTGGTTTCCTTCCTCGTATAGTTTTAGGTACCTCTTTTGGCCCAAGTGACCACTAGATGAACCCTCACCAATGTTAGTGACCTGGGATTTAGAGCTTGTAGCAACTCTTGCACTTGTTAGTTATTCTGCGTTTTGGATGTGGGCGAGAACTAGACCACACAGGACTTGTGCAGTGCTGTTCCCCCTCAGGATTAAATCCATGGGAGGAGACCTGAGCCAGTATTATTTGAAAGCAGATGTGGGTTCCCAGGGGATGTAAACCTGTGGACTCTAGTTCAGGCATCCAGCAGACATTTTAGCCACTTTTCGTGGTCTGTCAGGAGCTCGTGGGCAGATAATGGTTTTACATCCCATCACGTCCAGTTTCTGCACGTTCGGGAGCGTCCTGGTAGGATCTGGCACTCTGGACGGCATAAAGAATCCTTTTAACCCTGAATTTCAAAAGGAGAAGTCCAGAGCTGTTGGTGTGGAGGAAGCAGTTGGGCTGTGGCGTCACCTGAAGCCTTTGGGTACAGAACCTAACTCGAGCTGTCGCTGAAGGCAAGTTCCACTGCATGCCCAGAGTGTGCTGGTCTTGCCTCACTCGTCAATGGCAAGCATTTACGTCTCCAGCCCCTGCCACCTTTCCCCACTACAAGACAGCAAATATTAGAGGCACCACTGGAATCCATGTCCTTGCAGACACGTCTCTGTAGGCGTAGTGTGAAAGTTGGTGGGAGGATGTGCCTCGCTGCTTGTCCTCTGCCTCACTGCCGACGGGGCCAGCTCTCACCGCTTGTCGGTGCAGAGCTCCCGCAAATCACGTTAACTTGGGAACTGGGGGAATTACAGACACTCCACACCTGAGGTGTCATCGGGGAGCAGTGGTAGCCACAGCAGAGCCGTGGTCTGGCACACCTCCTCAAGAGGCAGGGCTGGTGTAGTCCCCATACCAAAGGCATACCCATGCAGTTAAATGGTTTTACGTGCAAATGGCTTCCAGCAGCCAGGGCTTGCAAAATAACTGCTGCTGAGCTGTGCTTAACACACCTTCCTCTGCTGCGCACATGGTATAAGGATGTCTAAGTGAATTGGCACATTCCGAAGGCATGTTCATTTTCAAAATTCGTTCATGCTTTTCCTCCCCATGGCAGTGGGCAGACACGTTTGCTAGAAACTTCCAGTGCAATTAGCACACAATATTTTATTTTGCTTTTATCGAGGAAGAGTCTGCTGCATGGCATCATCCCCATGCAGTTTGGTGAAAGGCCAAGGACTTTCTTCCCGTGGTTCTGCTGTGCTTCAGCTGTTTCAGTCTCCACTGCTCCTGGGGAAACAAATGTATTAGGAGTGGGTAAGGAGTGCCCTCTCGTAAGTGTAGGGACTGGGATGCTTCGGATGTAGGGGAAGGACAATAACCGCTTATAATATAACTGCAAATAAGTGCTGCACAGCGAAGCGAACTCCGAAGTAATGTTTCTTAACTTTTGGGAAGTTGTATGGAATATAATAAAGGTGCAGCATATAATTAAAGTTCAGATGTCTTAATTAGGGAATCTGAGAGAGCTCGCTTGGAGATAAAAGAGTAGCAGATGTGTTGGTGATGAAAAGTTGACATGCTGTAGAGAAATCCTAAAATCAAAAGCCCATGAAATGTTTCATGCTCTATTATTGCCGAATGAATCCCTAGTTCAAAGTCTTCCCAACTACTTAGCGCATTCAGTTTGATCATCTGGGCATTGATACATATTTTTTCTTTTACATCTTCTCATATCTACCTTCTCCTGCCCAATAATTTTGATGAGGATGTGCCCCTGTACGTAACATACATGCTGTGAAGAGCAGCAGCGGTTTGAGTCTCAACAGATCATGTATGTCCGAGAAATGGTTATCAGTCACAAAGAGAAACATCACCGTATCCGTGTTTCTCATTACCACTGCCCTAGTAGCAAAACCAAGAACATTCAGCTGAAATGGTCAGAAAAATACTGACCTTTTTTTTAATTAAAAGATCTTGGTGAAATTCTTCATACCTTGAAATTTATATTAAGTAACAATGTTCTCATTTCCTTCTATTATTACTATCTTTGAAGTAGTTTTTACATCCTGCTGCCATGTATTCATAGGGGAAGAATAGCGAAGTGAACAGCTCTGGGAAGAAAGTGAGATATATTCATGTGCTGTTGATATTTAGCCTGTTATGCACAGCAGAGCCACTCACACAAACCTCCCACCTGGATTTTCAAATGTATATGTAGAACACCAACAAAGCACCACCGTGTCTCTCTTTGTACATGTAAACTGTTCGTTTTGTCATGAAAAGCGTGCAGTTTATTTTTCTTATGCCTCTCCCATTCCATTTCTCTCTCTCTCATTGACTAATTTATGCTGGGTTTTGTTTATTTTTTTAATTTATTTTGTTTTAGCATTGTAGAAGGCAAAAAGGGGGGAGAGTTTTGGGGCCAGATTCTCCAGCTAGAGTAAGGCTGTGCACAGCTCCCAAGACGTGGGTTGAGCTCGAAGCCATGTCCAGCTGCTGAGGATCTGGCCCACTGTCCTTAAAGCCAGCTGGGCAGTCACCATCTGGTTTTAGAGGAGGAAAGGCATCCGACAGCCGTGCTGCTTCTTAGCGTCCTTGTTTTTCTCTGATCACAATTGACCGCTGTTGTGTTCTGCTTGTTTTTTCTTAATTTGCTTTTTTATTATTTTCCTTTTTATATTTTATCCAGATCCCCCCACAACTATCCCTCCTCCCACAACAACCACCACCACTACCACCACCATCCCTACCACCATCACAGGTATGGTACCTTCATAACCATTGGAAATGTCCTGAATGTTTATTGTCTTTTATGTATGTAAGCAGAGCATGAAGCCTGGGGAAAAACAACAATCACTTGCATATATTTTTTTTCTCAAATACGCCCACCATACAGCGCGAGTCCTGGTCCAGCAGTTCGACGAGTTGGACAGTCCTTACTGCAGATGTTTCCGAAACGTGGGAATTGCCATGGCAGAAAAAGCTATCAGTTCAGTTACTGGTGGCTAATATTGGGTACTTTCCACCGAAGTCTACAAACAGCCTTAGAGCTCACGTAATACGGGCGGTTGGTTCGGCCTCAACCCCCTCAGTATCAATTTCTGAGCAATTTGTATGCAGAAGCAGGACATTTGGTCTTCAGTAACTTAATTCACCTCCTGTGACTTAAGATGCTTTTTTCTCATGCCTAGGTGTTTGGTCTCTCTCTGTGGTAAGCCCTCTACCTCCCTCTCCCAGAAAACTGAATTCCACCAGTCTTTTTTTATTGAGTCGAACACCATCTGTAGGACCCTTTTTGAGGAGCTGGCTTTTAGCATTTTGAGTTTTTCCCTGTCTTGCGGGAAAAGGTGAATAAAAACAGCCAGCTGATCACGAGACTCCTCTCTCTTTTACACACATTTGTCATGCTTCCTCACTAGACCGGACTCTCTCCACTCATAAGGAAGGCCTTTCTGATTTTTTGTAATCATTTGCATTGTCATTTTTCTGATCTTTTCTATTTCAACTGCTGCTTTTGCTTTTGCTTGCCTTTTTTTTTTTTTTTTTTTGAGGTAGAGGTGACAAGCCGAAGGTGAGAACGGACCATTGAATAGCTAATGGCATAATGTTTATTGTTGCTGTAAACCATCCCCTGTGTAAATGCCTTCACATTTTATTTGCTTTTATGAAGTTGCTCAGCTGACTCTAACTGTCCTGCTCGGGGTGTTTTGTGGCTTCTTTCCTTCTGAGGTTTTTGCAACCAAGTCAGACTCCACTGGCATGGACAAGCAATCGAAGCCTTTCTCCCAACGTGCCTTAATGCGCACTGCGTGTGCGCTGTCTGCCATCCACCATCGTGTTGTCCAGACGTTGCCATTCTCCGTCTTCCTCTTTCCAGGTGGTTATCAATAAAACCGAACTCCAGGCACCCAAGTTTGGATGCTTGAGATGCTCTACCATGAACGCTTCCCCATTTTGCGGTTTGATCGCTTTATTTCAATTCTGTTTTTAATTTCTTAACTTAACCAGCTTTCATTTCAGAGTAGGTTTCAGGCTTTGTCAAAGTCTCCTTAAGAGCCGTTTGCAGAGAAACTCGGTCCCGTGTGTCTCGGTGTAAATGGACACGCATACAGTTTTCTTTTGTTTTACGGTAATTTGTTAATGCTTTCAGTGAATTTGGGAAGGCTAAAAGGAAGAATTTGTCTTGATGCTCCATAGATCCCGTTAAGTTTACGTCGGTGCCTGCCAATAGGAATGACTGTCCTTTTCCCGGGAACTGGATCATCATCAGCCTGTTGTTTGCGGGATTGCCCTAGGACTGGCTTCCAAAGCGTGCACGCTATCCTCACCTGCCATTTCAGGCTCCAAAGCAGTGGTTGTTCATAACAAATAGCAGTTTTGTTGTTTGCTCTTCCGCTGCAAGCATTGCAACTAGTGAATTTTCAGTAGCCTCTGGGCTTCTAGGCTCTCCTCCGCAGTAGTTTCCTAGCTTTTTCATACTAAAAATAAGGAAGGGAGGCGGGTGGTTCTTAAAGTCAGAAATGGCTATCACCAGGCCCCCTGTCCGAGCTGGTTTCAGGTGCAGCTATGGTCTAGCTGCTGCTGTTGTGTTGCCCGGGTTTGGTAGTGGCCCCAGCAGGCTTTGTGCCTCGCTGATGAGTCGGTGATACCCAGGAGTTGCTCAACACCCCCACAGCTACAGCTGGGCAGTGATCCTCGAGGCCGTGGCTCTAGCTGTAAGAAATCACTGTTGAAGTCCTCCTGTGGGTTTGCTTTGAACGTGGAGATGAAGGGGTGATGATGGTCTTCCGGGAAGGGAGGACCTTCTGGCGTGGCATTTTCCCAGCTGTTTCTCCTCCGTAACTTTCCATCGGAGCAAACCATTGGCCTGAGGATTAGCACGGCACTTTGTGAGGGTGCTGCACTGGGGGGAGGTACGACTGCACTGAGAAAAGATTAGACGCACACAAAGATGTGTTGACCGGCAGCTCTTGTGCAAGCAGAATTGTGGGTTGCTCTTTTTATCAGCCTAGGAGAAGTCCCTTGGGATCAGGAGTGTGTGGCTGTCCTATGTTTTTCTCTCAGCTTTGTTTGCAATGATGGCAGATCTGAAGCTCAAAGCTTGCTGACATCCTCTTGGCAAAACCTGGGTGGGTCTCCATTGCCTCCTTGACGCCTTTCACCGATTCAAGCAGTTACCACTTATGGAAAGTTGGAAGAAGATTAGTTTGTGCCAATAAGAGAAATGTTTATAATCTTCCCTGACGCCGACCGAATGCTGAGTCTTCTTGATGTGAGTCTCCACATCTTCTGCCCACAAGTTTGGTGTGCTTTTCCCACAAAGGACAGCGGAGGCTTCGCCTCCCTTCTTTGTGCAGAGCCACGCATGTGTATGTTTTCCAGGCAGCAAGCAGGCAGTATGAAGCAGCAGAAACTTTTTCTCTTCAATAGCTAAGAGACTTGGTAGCTGGAAAAAATTAGGTCAAATTAACATAATCTCTAGAATTACATAGCATAGTAGTGTTGAAACACTTTTTAAAGCCTCAAGAGACAATCGATACCTTAATTCCCGTAATCACCAAAACGTTGAAATACTCTTCTAGTGTGACATAAGTGCTTTGGTAGCAGACGGGGTGTTTCTTGTCTCCACTGGCAGGCGGGGTGTGAGTCGTCTGCCAGCCAGCCGCGTTGAAAACCATTCCTTAGGATGAGGGGGACTTCATATTATTTTATTTTGCCTTTTCCCCCTACTTCTTGTATAAGAGTGGCCTGGTTCATGTCCCCTGAAACCACAGAGTAGTTCTGATGAACAATTGTCTTGCTTTAATTTTAAAAAAAAAAAAAAGGAGGAGAGGGAGGCCTGCACTGAAACAGTTTCTGTGTTCAAACTCGGGTTGTAGGTATGCCATCATCTCTAGCAGCTGCCCCTAGAAAATTATATTCTTGGAAGCAGTCCTTTTGAGTTACGGGAGATAACTTATTCTGGATTCATTTTCCCCTACTAAGACTATCCAGCAGAATGATCTCAGAGGGCTGCATTTGCTACTCCACGTGCCTGGTAAGTTACTCCTTTTGTGCAGGTTCCAATGACGGTCATCTTTCTTCCCTGCTTACGCGCAGTATTTCTACTCTACGTGTGTTCTGACGTGACACGTAAATGCGATCCTGTCCCAAAGAGTTTATCTGTGAGCGGTAATAGACGCTGCTCAGCAAATATGAGCCAGATCAGTAGGTGCAGCAAATGGGGAGAGGACAGGGAATGCGATGTGCAGGTGTATGAGGGAGCACGGTCGTTACTTCCCCCGCTAGCAGGGTGCAGTGTGCTCCCCCATGCGCTCCCAGTCCCTCCCCAAACCCACCCAAGTCCATGCCTGGAGCGAAGGGTCCCTTTTTCGGCCCCTCTTGCTTGACACATCCCAACCCTGTATCGCTGCTGCCGTAGGCTTGACCTACAAAGGCACACTGAGCCGATAAAGCGGTTTTACAGCAGGGAGGTTTGGGGGAAGCTCTCTGAAAAGCTAACCTGCTGCTTTTTTCCAGAAGGAAAAGCTGAACAGTGGTAAAGTTTCCAAAACAGCACGACCTTTAAAGCTTTTCCTCTGTCACTGTTGCTTTGCTTCAGTGTAGGTGCTTGAAAAGATTTTCTGCATGACAGTTTGATCTTTTTCTTGTATCCTCCAACTGCATTGATATTCCGACCATCCTTTGGCGTTTCAGCTGTTATCGCTGGCAAGCCCTTTTTTATCAGTTCAAATTGTCCTTGTGGCTTTGTTCATTAAGATGTACAATATGATACAGCAGAGCAAACTGCATAATTTGAATTACCCCTAGAGTCGTTGCTTGAAATGCTGCTTTTGGACAGCTGTTGTTTCCTGGGAGATAAAGGTTCTTAATAATAGCAAAGCCCTCATCTTTGGGCACAGTGCAGAGTGGAGCATTTTAGCCTGCCTTTTCAGGCATCGTTTTGCTGCCTTCTGGTCTTGCTTAGCACATACACCTCCGCGCCCCGGGATCTACAGTATTGTTTGTACATGCAAATTTGCATTTATCACACTTACGCTGCAGATGGATCACGCAGGTGTCTTGGCAACAGTTTCGGTGGAGACCTGGGGGTGCAACGCGCGTGCATGTTACCAGTATTTCAAGGCTTGCATTGAATGTTACTGATTCTGCAAAGCCCCCGCTGTCCATCCTGCAGCAGTATTAACGGCAAGCTGGCAGATACCACCACAGCCTCTCTTTAATGCCATTTTAGACCCTATTTTAAAGCCCCCGGGTCCCTTAGGGTTTGGGGGGGGGGGGTCGAGGGAGCTGAAACATTGCAGGCAGCAGTTTTTAGCTTCAGAATTCCCAGAGATGCTGGAGCCTCCCCAACAAACTCAGCTGGAAGGCCCCAAGGCTGTGTTGTGGAAACACCCTCTGTTCCTTCTTGAGGCCGGAGATTTTTATGAGCAGGAGTAAGCAAGCTCTGTTTGACTTGGCGGTGTTCGGAAGTCAGCGAGCCCCAGAGCTGTTCATTGATGCCAAGTCCGAATACCACATCTCGACTGGGGCCACAGAGCAGCCGAGCTCTCTTTTCGCCCAAGTGGCCAAGTGCTGCCATGCCAGTGCTGGACGAGGGTGAATGGCTTTGAGTCAGCTGGGCAAAGGCTGGCTGGGTGCCAGCTCTGGGTGCTCCGTGAAAAAACACAGTTTTGCGCCATCTTAGCTACCTAAGAAATAATAATGCATGGACCTGTGAAGTCTTTGAGAAGAAATAGCGTAGCAGGTTTTCAAAGCCTG